CCAACTCTTCTATCTTTAAATTAGCCTTGTGAAGTGCAGTCAGAGCTACAAACTAGTAGATTTAGAGAAAGCACCAGATGGCCTTGTTTTGACATTCCCTTACAGAATTTGCCCTGTTTTAAGAATCAGGGATCTGCCAATGCATAATTTAAAGTATTACAGTGTGTGCTCACTCTAACTATGAGAATGTATTGTATAGGTGATTATGATGTCAGCTAACTGCTAAGAAGCTAAGAAACAAAACATACATTAAGTATACAGACTTCAAAGAACATACTTTTCATAAGAAACAGACATAAGGAAAATAACTGCATTATAAAAATCAGGAGAAACACCCGTAAAATCGATGTTAAGCAAAAATATATGCTATGATGCAAAAGCCATTAACAATGTTGTCAAAACAACACAATGAGAATGATAGCTTTATATATTAAATATGCATCTGCCAATGCATAATTTCAAGTATTACAGTGTGTGCTCACTCTAACTATGAGAATGTATTGTATAGGTGATTATGATGTCAGCTAACTGTTAAGAAGCTAAGAAACAAAACATACATTAAGTATACAGACTTCAAAGAACATACTTTTCATAAGAAACAGACATAAGGAAAATAACTGCATTATAAAAATCAGGAGAAACACCCGTAAAATCGATGTTAAGCAAAAATATATGCTATGATGTAAAAGCCATTAACAATGTTGTCAAAACAACACAATGAAAATGATAGCTTTATTTATTAAATATATATAAAGTAAGAAATGGTAGAAAATACATTGAATGTAGTCAGCATAGCGATACTAACCTTCTACCGTAATAGTAAACATACAACTGCCTTCATTTCCTGCAGTATCAGTAGCCTCACATGTTACTGTCAACGGACCACCAGTTTCCACCGGACCTCCAGATGCTGGATCACAAGTGGCTTGTAGATTTCTGTCGACATTGTCTGTAACATTTGGCGCTGGCCAATTCACTGTAGCTAAGTTTTCGCCGGAATTTGTCGGTTGTGTTATGTCACTGGGGCAAGCGACAACTGGCAACTCATTATCTACCAAAATATAGCATTAGATAGAGCTGCTTTTGCATAAGCATGATCAGCAAAAACACAAATTCTAATCCTAAAGTTTCACACTACATTCAATTCAAAATGTAAATTACTGTAGCAATACCAATACTTAGCATAAAAAAATGTCTATTTTCTAAAAGCGATAGCAGCATATAGACGGACAGTGCAGATTTTATCTATAAATTAACAAGCGTAGCCATAGTCTTCCACTGAGAAGAACATTCAAAGGTTTATACCCTGTTTGAAAATGAGCATGTGCAAAGGCAATTAAAGAATGTTATTAAAATTTACATCAATACTATAATTTGCATGAAAAATATAAATAATTCTTCTATAGACACACTAAGCGGATATTTTCTATTAATATAATTTGAAAAATTGTTTTCCCAATGAGCAGAATCTCCTAACCTGTAGGTTTTGTACTGAGCATGTGCAAAGGTAATGAGGCATGACTTTATTAAACTTTACATCAAAGCAATGTTAGAATGAATCAAATTGATTCATTAGCATCAGAGAGTCATTTATATTTTCAAAAATGTTATTCCCATCAAAATGGAATTACAGGTTGATGGTATTAAGTTATGAGACTTAATAAATTGTGAGTTGTGGCAGTGGCAATGTCAATAGGAAGCTTTCGATTGCACGATGACGGTAGGATGTAGAACGTATGACATCACTAAAAGTCTTCTGCGCATGCGAGAACGTTAAGGTCACCTCGTCGAGTAGATTCTGGAACACAATTTGGCCAAATCTATGTATGCAGAGAATGTAGGACGCCAGGTAGGACGATCACGCATGAGTGATTCCATTCTAGTGTCACATCGTGGAACAAATCGAAAGCTCCCTAGTAGTAGCAACACAAAGAACAAACATCAGAAAAGTACACTAAGGAATTCAAAAACCTAAAGATAGAATTTGAAAATTGACCAATAGAAAAAAAATCACAAGCACACATACTACCATTCTTACCTATGACATTTACAAGAAACATACAGCTGCCAGTATTTCCAGCAGCATCAGTAGCAGAACAAGTAACACTTGTTGTACTGACATTAAATGATGAACCAGAAGATGGAATACAAGTAGATGATTTACTAGGATCGTCAACATTGTCAATGACGTTTAGGGGATCCCAGCTCACTACTGCTATAGGCTGGTTTTCATCTGTGTTTTCACTGATGTCTTCAGGACAGGTTAATTCTGGAACTTGATTATCTGTGTGAATACAAGAAGAAATGAGCTGGTAAATAGTAATGCATTAGCAGCAAGTATTATATTATCACCCAAAGACCTTGCTGTTTGGATTGTTGCATGGTCTGTTAGCTAGTTGTTTCTGGGCATTATTAAAGTTATTTAAACCAATTAAATTTGCCTGTGTTTTTGAGCTTGATACAAGATACTATATCAACTGAAATCCTAGAAGTGTTTGTGTTGTTTGCCAGTGACTAATGGGTTATCTTCACCACAGAGACTGTCTTCAGTTCCCCATCCATGGGGCCAGGTCAAACTTCCTTCGCCATTTTCTAACATGCCCTTCTGACATGACCATGAATATGGATCAGCTAACTTTCAGACATATTTAATCAGCACATACTGAGCTCAGTCTCAAGAATCAATTTCTGGCCAGGTTATAGCTAATATTATAAATATTGATATAATGATTGCAACACACAGAGAAACCCTAAAAGCTAACATTCTAACCAGAAACAGTCAATTTCTCTGACATAATAAATCTAGCTTATAAATATACACAGTAACCGTATACCAATGTTGACATAAATGTACATTTAAACGAAATAGGCATTTAGGCCTACAATACAAAATGTACTGTATAACAGTTACAATAAAACAAATATATTTTACAACGTCATGTGCAGAATCATACACATACAAATGTACTAAATTTGTATGTACAGTACCACCTAGTAAAACACATCAAGTATGTCTATTTTTTTCCATAACATTCAACACAGTTATAGGCATATTGTACATGTGCTCAAAAATTTAAATGTTTATTTAAAGTAATTTACCAATATTATATATTTTGAGGATTAATTTGGCATACTCAGTTACATACTAGGTCACTTTTGAAATTATGAATCCTGTGCACATTATTTAGATGCTCTAAACTAAATTTGTGATGACGTGCCAAGTGTATTGCTTCATCTAATCTTAGCAATAGGCCATTATAATGCATAGTATTAAGATAAGTCTAGACTAGTTCTTTGTATTATTACTATCCTTGTATTTGAAAAAAAATAATATTGAATGGCCCAGGTAGGCAAAAAAGTAATTGTAGACCTAAATGAATAAGGCAATAAAAGTTGGAGAATAAAGAAAAAATTATAAATATATGCATAATGGATACATACGGTTTAGCCCACTGCCTGAAATTGAGTTAATAGGCCTACTACTACACTAGGCAGGCTGATAACAACAAACAAAAATGCATGTTCTCATGAGTTTCAATTATAACAGGCCTACCTTTATTAGATTAATTTGATGCAAAAATTTATATTGCTTTGAAACCCGGAATGTTTGACCTTTCTATGCCTAGGCAGTTTTAAACGCACAAATGCATGATACTGCTACACTTCACTCTTATGTAGAAGTTTCATTTAATTTTATTCTGGGAACACTTGGTTCGAACAAATACGGCCTCAGTGGTAATTATACTTGTAGACTTAATCGTCTACCCAAGTCATCATTCCATATTATTTTATACAAATGCAAGGAGGGTATTTCATTTCATTTATTCGCCTCAACAGATTACAAAAAGAACACACCAAAAAGACAGACAAAAAGGAGGCTGGCTTAACAAGAAGAGATTAAAATCTCTGTCGAGTGGGTTGCCAGATTTACAGACACAATAAAAATATCAAAACAGTCAAAATAGACAAAAATTTCATATAAAAATAAAAAACATTTTTACAATAATATAAAGAATAAAATAATCGATCAATCAATAATCAAATTTCTCAAAATAAAAAGGCAAAATCTAATGCCAAAAATTGCCAGCCTTACGTCTCCTGAAAATGCTCTTTGAGCTTATTCAAAAAAGGCAATTATATAAGGACTTTATATTATTATGTATAACTTATCTAAGATCATATCATATGTCTGTTCCAAGTACAGTACACTGCTGCATCAAAATTTGGCAACAGGGACTTGTAGAGTATTGCATATGATTAGGATTATTCCTACAGCACAGGAGTTTTTTTTATAAAATGGCTCTTGTTGACAAAGAAGTTGTAATCATAGTCCTGGTTAAAAAAAAGACATATACTACGTATGTTTACCAAGACCATATTGTTTGACCCCGAATTGTCAAAGACATGTGGGCTATCTAATAAGCCTAATGCACTGGCGCGTGAACACTTCGCTTTCAAGGCGGTAGGACAAAAGAGAGAAAATGGGTTAGTCACAAATTTAGTTTAGAGCACCTACGTAATGAACACGAATGAGATTCGTAATTTCAAATGTGGCCTAGTATGTAACTGAGTATGCTAAATCAGTCCTCAAATTACATAAAATTGGTGGAATTGTCCTTTACATAAACTGTTTTCAAAGTGTGTGCCAGTCACTAAGGATTCACTTTCACTAAAAAGGTTATTCTCAATCTCCCACCTGGACAGGGTACAATAAAATTACGGCATTAGAGCCATAGGCTTATTCTTAGTGGCAGTTAAAGAAGCTCAGCTACTTGATGTTAAAGCCCAATTCTTGGCAAAATTTCACTAAAAAAGAATTTTCTTAGAAAAAATGCATATGCATTACTCTAATTATTATAAACAATGGAAAAATATTGGCATAACTTTTAGTTTTACGCAAAAGAATAAAAAAAAAAATACAGACTATTTCTCATAGGAGATTACCATTTTCTCAACGAATTTTTCAGTACCAGACAAATTCAGAGGTTGTAGATTGCATCCGCTGGAATGCTCTCGCATTTATGTATACTTTATACAGTCAATAAAGTGCACCCTCTCTAATGAAATTAGTTTTTGTACTTCGCATCTCACACACTGCAGTCGATTGAGTAGGCGTGAGATGTTTGTTCAATTGTCAAAATCTCAGTCAGAATCATTTTTTAACAGATTTGAAATAATTCCTATGAAATATTACACTTCACAAGTGTAAATACTAGCAACAGAAAATATCACGTCACCCAAGTTTATGTGTGATAACAGAACCTAAATTGAGGTAAGGCTAGGCCTAGCTTAGCAGTGTTGGATAGGGTAATGTTTCCGGTGCCTACTACATTTCTTCGCAGACCTATCACAAAATCAAACATAAAAGTTTAACCACATTTACTTTTTGTGTGGAACACAAAAAACCAAATTTTATTCTTACTGTATTTTACATTTTTTTCATGTTTAGAAATGTCTAAATTCAGTTAAACTAGCAATTTTGTATTATATTTATAAATCTTTATAACATATATGAAAATCAGATTTTTCTTAACAACTGAAATTTTGCTGGGAATGCGGCTTTAAGGTATTTCTGTGTACATGATTGTGATGCCCATTTTATATTACCACTAGGGGTGCACACCTATCCTTTCATTTCGCAAGTTTATATATAAGTTTCTTTTATTGCAATGGCTGCCGAATATTCTATTTCAGGATGGCAAATGTTAATAATAATAATAATAAACCGGAGCATTATAAATGTCCATTTATTATTATTATTAATAATAATAATTATAGTGACACAATGGAAAAATCACAAGCATGCATACAAGCCCACAAAGGTAATAGTCTTACCAGTAACATTAACTTGAAATGTACAGGTGCCATTATTTTCAGCATCATCAATAGCAAAACAAGTAACAAGAGTTGAACCAACTTTAAATGATGAATCAGAAGGAGGAATACAAGTAGCAGACAGACCAGTGTCAACATCATCCCTGACTTCTGGGGGATTCCAGGTCACTACTGCTGTTGGCTGGTTTAGATCTGTGACTTGACTTGTGGCATTAGGACAGGTCACATTTGGTGCAGTAGTATCTGTGTAATAACAAATATAAAATCAAATTACATTCACAAACAAAAAAATTTTATTTTAGCATCATATAATAAAGAATTATACAAAGTCTCCATGCAAGGCCTTGAGTGCAGTTGTTCAAATGTATGAGATTTGGAGACAAGCAACCTAACTAGGCTGACTTTCTCAGTGGTGTACATGAACTCATTCAACAACTTTCTATTCTCATAAGGGTCAATTTGCATCTGCAGCTTCTACTAGGCTGGTGCTTTATATTGCCCGTCCATAACATGAGGTGCGAGCGTGGATGAGCATGAACACTAAAATAACACATATTCTCCTGAAGGATGTTCTGGATTCATTTGTGGACATTGAAGCGATGGTTTATAGGCCTTATTTGAAGGCTTAGGCCTAGCTACTTGAATTCTGAATGAGTAGCTACATACAAACCATTCCTAAGCACCTTTCCAGGGTGTTAATCGAAATTAACATCTCAACTGGCCAGCAGTGGCAGCGCCAGCGGTGGGGCAGGGGGCTTAAGTCCCCCCATCGGTCTGGTCAAGCCCCCCTCCCATTGGCTAAAGTTTTTCCATCCACAGCCATTTATCCACAGCCATTTCCGGCCATCTAGAAGTCCCAATTTAAAAAAAAAAATATCTCGTTTTGGGAGGAGGGGACACCTTCCCATACCCACCCCCAACTCGGGCCTTAGGCTATAGTTATAGCCACAAATACTTAGCCTCCCCAGTCGGACATGTTAGCCCCCACATAAATCATACCCTAGAGCCGCCACTGCAGGCCAGGTATCCATACATCCAAATATAAAATGATTGGAAAGAAGGATTCCCATACGAGGCAATCTTTGGAGAAAATGCCTTATGTACATCCTGGATCGTAGAACATCATAAGTAATTCATAAACCTCTTAAATGATTACTTAAATGAGTAGATACTATACCTTTTACATAGATATCATTTTTCAAATACAGTATTAACAATAAATAAGTAGTTGCAAACAGGTTTTGGTATTGCTTAAACATGAACATTTCCATAAATTTTTGGGAACACCTTCGCTTAAGAGAAAAACGGGCTCGTCGAAATCTTTTAAGACATCCTGTGTTGTTCACAGCACACACCTGTGTACTCCTTGAGACATTTTTTTAAACATTGGCAATGGTAAAAAAAGTTAGTTATTAACACTAGAACAGTTCTTACTGCAAGGGTGTACATGCAGAAAATATGCCCACAGCAAATTCTGGTGGTGTTTGCCTATAATTGTGAATGCTAGAGGCAACACCATTCTTGCTGCTGCTGCAATGCAATTACTAATACTTAAGTATCATTAGGCTAGCCCGAGTTTTCCTACAAGCAGACCATCATAAAGCAAGCAACAATCATATAAATAGTGCACTCGATTAGTCAAAATTGTTTTCCTTTCTGACTAAATTTATTATGTGTGAAAGGAAAAATCAGAAGATTAAACATGTAAACAAAGTAATTAATTTGTTACATGTAGTAAATTTTTTTCATTGTTAATTGGATATTATATTCAAGGTCTTTATTCATTCAGTCAGTCATAAAAACACAAATTACAGACAGTCAAATGAATGTATTACAATTATTGCAAGTTAACTGAACATGGCAAAATTTAAGAAATTCACAACACATACAGTACATAAATAAGTACAGCACCAGACATAAAACCTAACTAACAAAGCTAAAAAAGGAAGCAATAAAAAGGATATATAAAAACACATTAATTATATTAAATTTAATAAAAGATTGCAAAAACAATTTACATAAAGACAGAAAAACCAATAATATAACTAATAATTGAGGATGGGGATTTGACATGCTTTATACAATGTCTAATTAATACACTAGAAGCCTTAGTTTAACACATGTTAGTTTAATGCATACATGTGATACATGTGTATACATATACAAAATACATCCATAATGCAAATATATACATGCGTATTAGGTACATGTATTTATGCATGTATAATTGGTCAAATACATGAAAATCTGTAAATGAATGTATGATGATTAATAACGATTGAATATGTACAGTGAATGCTTGAATGTATAAAATATTACAGGTTATATTGTATGGGTCTATATTACAGGTTATATTCCATGGGTGTATATTACAGGTTATATTCCATGGGTGTATATTACAGGTTATATTCCATGGGTGTATATTACAGGTTATGTTGCATGGGTGTATATTACAGGTTATATTCCATGGGTGTATATTACAGGTTATATTGCATGGGTGTATATTACAGGTTATATTCCATGAGTGTATATTACAGGTTATATTGCATGGGTGTATATTACAGGTTATATTCCATGGGTGTATATTACAGGTTATATTGCATGGGTGTATATTGCAGGTTATATTGCATGGGTGTATATTACAGGTTATATTGCATGGGTGTATATTACAGGTTATATTGCATGGGTGTATATTACAGGTTATATTGCATGGGTGTATATTACAGGTTATATTGCATGGGTGTTGCATGGGTGTATATTACAGGTTATATTGCATGGGTGTATATTACAGGTTATATTGCATGGGTGTATATTACAGGTTATAAGCCAGGCACTCGCTGCGGTCGTTGCGCCGACCCGACGCAATTCTACGACGCGCGTGCAACGGATCGTTTTTAATGACGATCCATTCAGACTGCTACCAACAATCCGCAAACAGCATCGTTGGATTCGTCGTGCGAGGGTCATACAATCGTCGTATTAATTATTAAAGCCAGGATCATGAGGAAAAATAGTATTGAAGGGGTGTAACCACCCTTTTTCCCCTAGTTTTTAAACATTCTCAAATCTGTATCTCTTTAATAACCTTTCCCGTTTTCTCATCAAATACCCATTTTGTGTCAGTTTAGTTCAGTTGTACAATACAGTATATCAAAAATTGTTTTTCCTGGCTTTAAATGAGTTGACGCCTATTCATGTTTAAAATGTATAATGAGTAGATATGATATACATGAATGAAGTGGGTGGTTATATGTGAATGTTTATTAAAATACATGTCTGCCTGGTTGAATATATGTAAGTTATGAATTAATGCATGGATGCCTGACTGAATGGATAGATGTTTTAGCTAAATATGTTTGATCAAATACATATATCATTGATCTTTTGTCCAGTGAAATGTTTTGTTTTTGTTCAACTTCATGTGTACTGCAGATGTAATTTAGCCGTAATAAAAGTTAATATAAGCAAATGCATAGATAAATACTATATTTTTAAATGCAGAGATGAATGATGGAATGGGTTCCTATTTTCATTTCATTTCATTTCATTTATTCGTCTAAAAACATTAAAACTGACAATAAAAGAAAAGCAAAGAACAAGCACAAACAAATATGAGACGCGACACTCTAAAAGTGAACTTAATCACTATCGAGTGGGGCCCTTCACAAAAAAATAAATGCTTACAGTATTAAAGTTTTTTTAAAAATATAAAACATTCAAAGTTAAAGTTTAAAAGTTCTATAATAAAAAATAAGCATAATTTAAAAATTTGGCATTTAAAATATTAACATTTTTGAGATGATTCAATAAAATTTACTTTAACAAAATCAAATTTAAAATGCTAAAATTTATATAAAATACATCAAGGCAATTTGGAGCTATTCATAGCCATTGTTAGGTCGTAGTGAATATTCATGTACGATATATTATGTAAACCTTCTATTACTTAAATGCATACATATGAGAGGTTGACTGTGTGAAAGCATGGAAATGGGATAAAGTACATTATTTGCTCAAATTCCCTAGAAGCATGGATACCAATTATGCATAGGCTGAATGGTTATGTTGTTAGTATCTAGCCTTCCTTACCAGGTTGTTGTGTTGTTTGGGCCATCGTAGTAGAAACTAGGGTTGTACCACCTAAGGGGGAGGAAAAGCCAACATAGATCTACTTTACTGCCACATACATTGCAACAAAAATAGATGTTGACATGCTTGCCAGTATCCAGCCATACAAAACAGATAAATCAAAACATGCATAACATAAATGTAGTATTATAATCAACAGAATGTAACAAAATAATAGTACTAATTAATAATTGAGGCATTATTATTAAATTGGCAATACACAAATATTAATAATAATAATAAGCAATAATTACAGAAACAACAAAATAACAATGACATTAATATAAATAATACTTATACTGATAATAATAGTGATATAAATAATAGCGATAAATACTAATAATATTAATAATTATTATTATTATATTGTATATGCAGAGGTAAAGTCTATGGGGGCAGTAGTAGGATTGTCATTAACATTTGCAATGGTGGTTATATTACATTTGGAATCTTACCAGTTGTTTGTGAATTTTCAGTTATAACCATAATTTCAGTAGTTATTAGTGCTTCAGAAGTTGAGCCTTAGTAAATAAAGAAAGTGCAGAACACATACAAAGTAAAGTAACATGAAATAAGAAACTGATATAATAAACAATAATATAATGTGAGCAGCAATCAAATACTAGTATAATATCAACATAAATTATGACAAAAGGAAAACAAATTTACATAAATATGAAAGAAAAGAAACACAAAATACATTAAAAAGATGAATATGAATGTATTATTATATATGATGAACCATTTAGTATCAACAAGCTATTTTTACTTCTATATGGGACAAAAGAACCCTATATTCTGGCAGATTTGTGTGATTATAAACAAGTATGTGTCTAGGCCTAGCTTTGACATTATAAACATGTGTAGGAGTAACAGTAGAGTCCCTCATGTTTCTTTTAAACTACACATGTTTTTTTATTTGGTCTTTATAGAAAAAAAACAAAACAATATTTATGAGATGATAACATGATAATAATAATGAGATGATAACATAATGTGGGGATTTAGTCAGGATACTTATAATACATGCTTTGATGAGGAAGTTCAAACTGTATAAATAGCATGCTAAGGAGGCAATTAATAAAATGTTTTATAATTACTAATTAATAACAGGTCACTTATAATTATTCAATAGGAAAATTAATGATATCATTGATAAAAAGGTCATGCAGTTGACCTAAATAGTAATGAGCAGGAAAGGTCGACTTAGAGAATAAGGAAGGAGTGTTCAGAGAAGGGGAAGTTTAGGTCTGACAGGAAGATGGAATATTTAGATGTTGTGAATAGTTTTTAGTAGACTACTAAAATATGATTTGAAGTTTTGTTAAAATACACATCACATGTTGTTAGTAAAGTACAGTCACATAATACAAAAAATGAGACAACTTATACAAAAGTTAGTGGAGAAATCAAACAACAAATAGACACAAGTACAAAATGTAAATACTGTACAAAACTTTCCATACACAGGCAGGGGTCCTGAGTTGGAAAAATCCACATCTGGGTGACCTGTTTAAATACGCTTAAACATGTCTAATTATATTTTGCTGTGTGTGGTTGATACCTACTGTATTGGCACTGGGAGAGAATTGACAATAGAGTATGTAAAAACTTGTAGAAACATGTAAATATTGTGAATTTGCAGGATGTTGATTATTTTTCGGGATATTATTGCTTGCTCATGGGAGTGCGGGAGGCCTTCCCGACTTCCGGTAGACTCCAGCAACTTACGGGAGAATTGGGATCGCTGCACAGGGGTTTGCTAGAAAGCAAAGTAGCAGTTGAAGGCAGTATGTTTATTCAACGAATGGGAGGGTGCTGTGGATATACTGTAATGTAATGTAACTTATGGGATATTTTTGTAGTAGATGTAATATGATACTTTTATTAAAATTTAAGCATACCATCGCATATTTTTACTATGTTTGAAATGAATTGCTAAAAAAAGCTATCAATGTTTAAAGACTCATAAGTGAAGACAAATAAAAAACACACAAAAACAACTGAAAAGAGACATTAACAACAAAAGAAAACTACAAAAACAACAGAAACGTCATGCTACATACAGTACATTCAGGTCATGGAGGATTGGTTAGTCAGAGAGGAGGTGTTTTACAATACAGATAGTTAGTCAGTGATGGGAATGGAAAAATAAACCCAAGAAGATGAATGAGTGAGGGGTGCTGTCTCTTATACACATCTAGATGTGTATAAGAGACAGTTAATAACCTCAACGTATACAGGTTTGTTAACAAATTTCCATAGCTTTACGTCACATACATATAAACTCGGATTTCTACGCACTCTAATAGACCTGTCTCTTATACACATCTAGATGTGTATAAGAGACAGGAATAAAGCAGGGCCTATGTAGAGGAAAATGTCGAAAGCAAAAAAAAATCACACTTAAGTAGTAAAATGTTATTGTTTGTGTCCTAGTGCCCCTTACTTGATAATTGAGGTCCTGCTCCACCTTCACCCCTCCCCTATTTCAAGACTTCTACAGTATATGCCACTGGTCATCATAAACTAATTGTTGGGAAAAAACATTTCATTATTATCTCCCCCCTTTCTTATAAATGAATGCATTGTTCTCAATTGGATTATCTTTTTGAATAGTCAAGTACAGTAATTCTAGTTCTTAAGCACTATGTGTATTAAGTGCACTGAAAGAATCACAATTTTATAATTAATAATTATTGTTTATTATATATTTATTTTGATAATATACATTTATTATATTTCCATATATTTTATTCAGTTTACTCATCCTTTTTTGCTTTCTTTGCAGCTCTCCGAGTCGAGAGTAATGAGACGGATTGCCCAGATGACTGCATACTCCATGAATAAAGCACAAGAAATAGGTATAGAG